GCCAGCGATGGTTATCGTTTTTCACTAGAGACTTTTGATGGATCTGTTTTTAATCTGATTATCTGAGAGATTATCTAGCATTCGTATTTCGGTTCAGTTTTCTTGATTAAATATTAAATAATCAATATATGAAAAACTTGACTTCCATATTATATGACAAGGGCCTGATAAGGACAGCTGTCTAGTCATTCGGATGGTATGAAAAACAGAGGTCCTGTGTATACATTCGCATACACTTTAAAGATCCCTTGGCAGTTGGAATTCGATATAAGAGTAGGTCATGGTGCCGCTGCCCGGGCAAAATTCACCTCATAGCACACTGTATGGCATATGCCCCATTTTATTTTATATGACAAGGAGTATGGTCGTCTGTCCAACCTTGTAGGTTTTCACCGGGTCCTCCAGTTTCCTCCTACTTCTAGAGACAATGAACCAATGGAAGTTAGAATTTTTGACAAAGAGTCGGACATAGGGCTACTGTCTAAGCAAAATTTCCCTCATAGTACACTGCATGGCATATACCCATCTTGTTTAGCCTGGTTGATGAAGAACAGTAGGACGTTCTCATATACTTTTATTATACAATGTTATAGTCTTTGTTGTTTTAGGGGGTTGGATGACCGAATGGTTAGCACGTGCGCGCTGTATCACAAGGTCTTTCATTGAGTCAACTAGCGTGGTTTCAATTCCCGCCCCTACGTGACAAGGAGTAGAGTCACCTGTCCAACCTTGTGCTATCCTGTAGGTCCTCCGGTTTCCTCCCACTGCTAAAGACCCCTATACGCACGCAAATTATTGAAATAAAATTGAACCATATGTTAGTCCCGAAATGACCTAGTTTGTGTTAAACCCCATTTCTCTCTCTCTCTCTCTCTCTCTCTCTCTCTCAAAAATATCAAATTTGCCACGACCTAATCCATGCTAAAAATGTAATTGAGAAAACAAAATGAAAATACCAACAGTAGATAGATAGATAATCTCTCGGCTTGTTTATAATCAGATTTAAATGAAACACATCAAAAGCTTCCTGTGAAAACAGTAAATATCACTGGCTAGTGCCGACTCTATCCTGATTATGTTGTCTGCAGTGGATGCCAAATTTTTAGATCATAATATCTTTGTAAATACCGGTACTTTACAGATTAAAGGATTAAAAATCTGTTCAATGACAATCAGAGACTTAACATTAAGACAATTTTAGATTGTTTAAGTTAAGTATGACTTTGTGATTAATTTCTATAAAGGGTTGAGGTGTATTGTATATGACCATAAGCAGTTTATTAAAAGTAATTTTCCAGTTTTGTTGTCGCCAGATAATGCAATCTCTTAATTTATTGTAATGTGATATAAGGTGTAATTATACATTTTATTATTGCTCCAAATTATATTACTGTAACACGGGTATCATTTAATCTTTTGTATCTAGCACTAATTTCATTCACATTTGTTTAATATGAAATCTTTGTTTAAAAATTCGTAAAAATCATTAAAATCACCCAAATCATGTAATTTGTACTCGTGTCGAGTTTAAACAGGACACAAGTACAAATTGGATGATTTTTGGTCATTCCTGCATTTCATTATTGCTCCAAATTATGTTATTCCTGCATTTCATTATTGCTCCAAATTATGTTATTCCTGCATTTCATTATTGCTGTGCATTTTATTATTGCTGTGCATTTTATTATTGCTCCACATTATATTATTCCTGAATTTTATTATTACTCCACATTATGTTATTCCTGCATTTTATTATTGCTCCACATGTATGTTATTCCTGTATTTCATTATTGCTCCACATGTATGTTATTCCTGTATTTCATTATTGCTGTGTATTTTATTATTGCTCCACTTTGTTTTGTAACTAACCAAACTCTCTTAAGGATGCATTATGTAAGTTGTAGATAAAAAAAAACAACCTAGCTATTCTTGCTTTAATAGTTCCAAAATAGATAAATGAGGAAAGGAATATATATGGTCAAATTACTTTATTCTTGGCAAAGTTATGAGTGTTAAAGATTTCAGATGATCTAGAGAGTTTGTTATGGCCATGTGAATTAATGTCTAAATAATAATGTAAAATTTGAAGCTATGAAAAAGAGCTGCAATAGCCAATTTTAGCTCTTACATAATGCATCTTTAATATAAATTCTTAGCACTGTGATCATGATTTCTTAAAAGTGAAAAATTATGTCTTTCATACCCCTTGTGTGTATATATATAGTAGACATTAGCTAGGTAGGTAAGGAGAATGCTCACTATAGCTCTTGGGTTCACATGTCAGCAGGTCAAGGATTATTGTCATGGTTCAACAGTCTCTTGACCTTTGAACTTGACAAAATGTCTAATACCTTCAGTTGGTTCTGCTGGTTCTTTTGTTAATCCATATTTTATTGTGAGTTTTGATTTTCATTTTGAATGAAGCCTGTATCATTACAGACCCGGGAATGTACAGCGCAGTGGCCCCCCGAATCCATTCACTTGATTTGATATATAAACGTTTGTTGTTTGTGGTGTTCTGTCCGTATGTTTGTATTTGTGTAATTGTTTATGTGTGGTGCAGTCTTCCTGCACTTTCTGTTATAGTATTTTGTATAGCGACTGACTTGTGAACCCACAGACATGTGAAACGCCCTTTCCATACAGAAAGTTTATGTTTGCTGAACAAAGTTTATTATATTTTTAAACTTGTATATAGTGTACATGTACAACGTGTGTATATATATATTTACTGTCGAAGAATAAAAAGTTTTAATTTTAAATATTGTTTCTGTGATGCTGTTAAATACTACAACTATGTAAAAGTGTTCTGACACGCATGGGGTTTAGTGCTTGGTCGTTCAAAGACCAGCTGCAAGAAACCTGGTGAAAATTTTGTATGTCCAGGACCAAAAGTTTCTACGACTGGTCTGTGATCTTCTACAGTGCCGTACACATGCAAGTGACGCGTAAGTCTCACGTACAGGTTTACCAAACTTCCCACCACCCCCCACCCCCATTAACACGTACGATGGATTGTGAGCTAGGCTTTATTCACATATAATAAAGGTCCTGTTTACACTTTGCCTTGCACGTAAAAGAACCATCTTATTGCTGTGATCCCCACATCCCATCCATTCTTATTGCAGAATCCATTCTTATTGCTGGTATCCCCCCACCCCATCCCGTCCATTCTTATTGCTGGGAACCTCTCTCCACAATCCAGTATTAAATCTTTAAATGAAATTGAACTAATGGGATTAACACATCCAACCAAGTGATTACCCGACTCTGTTCCCATCCAACCCATTTACCAAGTGATTACCCGACTCTGTTCCCATCCAACCCATTTACCAAGTGATTACCCGACTCTGTTCCCGTCAATCCATTTACCGAGTGATTACACGACTCTGTTCCCATCCAACCCATTTACCAAGTGATTACCCGACTCTGTTCCCATCCAACCCATTTACCAAGTGATTACCCGACTCTGTTCCCATCCAACCCATTTACCTAGTGATTACCTGACTCTTTGATTTAACTCCATTGTTACAGATTCTCTCCACAAAAACTAGAATTAAATCTTTTAAATAAAATTGAACTACATGCTAATTAAATTCACTCAAAATTGCACTTTGCCCACTTTAACATCCAGTTCCTGTCATTAACGTGGTGTTCACTGACAAGATCTTAAAAACCATTAAAAAGATTTCAATTTGTCAGTCTGGATGGACAATTTACCTCCGAGCTACGTCATTGAAACGACCTCTAAATACTTGTACCATCCATTAAACATGTTACGGTCCGTTTTGCCGCTAGGAGACGAGATTCCGAGACAAGGGGAAGAATGGTGGAACATGCCTAATTGACCAAGTTTGCCATCAATTAGTTTCAATTCCACAGTTCTGGTGCCCGTGGTTACAGCGACACTTGAGAAACTGAATGCTGATATTTGTGCCAGAGAGACGGCTAGAAGGGAAAAAGCAGAAGTAATTTGGTAGATTTTAGTAGATGTGTAGTAATATTGATTTCAGAGTGTCCCTGTTAATTAAAAACGGAGATCTATGTTTATCATAGATGTTGGTACTAATTAAGGTGAACGTTTTACTTCGGACAAGACCTAGTCGGGTGTCCGTGGATTCAGTTAAACTAATGAGATTAAAATGATGGCTTCTATTACTTTTGTTCAACCATTTAAAGGGCTTGTAGCTGTAGTACAATATTATCTGTAATATTCAACACTGAATGAAATGTGCTTTTTGTCCTATTTTTGTCTATTTTATGTTCCCAAAGAATAGAGCTATACTTTCTTTTAAATGAGTTTATAGATACCAAGAGTAGAGAGAGAGATAGAGAGAAATGAGGTTTAACACCCATTCGACACAAACTAGGTCATTTCGGGACTAACATATGGTTCAATTTTATTTCAATAATTCGCTTGTGCATAGGGGTCTTTAGCAATTGGGAGGAAACCGGAGGACCCAGAGAAAACCCACAAGGTTGGACAGGCGACCCTGCTCCTTGACACGCACAACCGGGAAAACGAAACTATGCCAGTTGACTCAATGACAGACCTTATGATACAGCGCGCACGTGTTAACCATTCGACCATCCAATCCCCAGATACAGAGAGTAATCATTGGCTTTTATTACCAACATATATACCAGCACTGACAATTTCTTGCTGAAGTATTGGCCGAGAAAGTCCATCAGGATTTTCCACCTTGTCAGTGGTGCAGGACGAAAGGGCTTGACAAGGACAGCTGTCTAGTCGTTCTGATGGGATGAAAAATTGAGGAAACATGTATACATTGCAGTTGGAATTCGATATAAGAGTAGGCCGTAGCCCCGATGTCCGGGCCAAATTTCTCTTATACCACACTGTATGGTGTATCCCCGTCTTCATTAGCCCAGTCGGACCAGAACACTAGTACGTTTATCCCCATTTCATTTCATTTTCATTTCATTGCTAAAGTATTTTACTCAAATGGATATAACATCTCTCTTTCTGCACCATCCAGGTTAATGAAGATGGGCATTCATCCAGCAGTGTATTATTCGACAAATTCTATCCAGACACTGGCATTGTGGTTATTATTTCGATTTGCAACTGTCGGGGGATCTTTAAAGGTATGCCTGTGGTTACACAGGACTTCAGTTTTCCATCCGATCTGAAGGATTTTTCACCTTGATAAGGGGAAAGAAGACTAGGAAATTCTGAGGAACTTTCTTGGTCAACACCCGCTAATTTGTGACTTCCATACTTTAAAGAATTTTGAGCTTTTTATCATGGCCATAATTAATTCCCACCTTCCCTTACAAGCTTAGCATTATACTGAATTCTCCTAGAAATGTGGTTATTGAAAATATGTTAGTTCCGAAATGATCTAGTTTGTGTAGAGTGGGTGTTAAATCCCCATTTCTCTCTCTCTACAAGGAATTTCATGTTACTTTTTATTTGATATTTGGTGCAGTATTTAATGAATTAATTGACAATAAAAGGGTACATAGCTCTATTCTTTGGAACTTTAAAATAAACGAAAATTTGTCTAAAAGCATGGCTAATGTAATATGAGTGTTTATAAAGAGATTTACAGCCTTTTTTTAAAAATTGTTATCGTAATTTCTAATCAATTACATTCAGTGAAATATGCGAACAGTCCAAATTAAACGACAGTCATTTATGCCTGTTTAGTCCATTAATATTTTGTCGTTTGTGACTCTGCCATTCTTAATTACTTCTACGTTGTTTTCATTACAAATGGGACTCCAAACCATTATATCTGTAGAATACATGACTTGTGTAGTAATTTTAGAATGAGATCCTTTAATGCTTCTTATGTTTTTATTGATGTTAGAAACATTCTAGAGCATACGATACATTTCTAGACTATATGGTCCATTACCTGCAGGAAAACTCTTTATTAATCTGGCAAAGTCTTAAAGTAGCAAAGTCTTTAACTCAATATCATTCACAGTCATCAACATTGAAAATTGCTGAAAACACAAATTTTTTATCAATAACACAAATTTTGCCCGGACAGCGGCACTATGGCCTACTCTTATATCGAATTCCAACTACCAAGGGATCTTTTACATGCACACCAATGTATACATGGAAAAAAAAGGGGTTTAACATCCTACTTTTCCGCACTGACTGGGCTACTGAAGATGGGTATATGCCAACATGTGTGCCAACATGTAAACAGGACCTCAGTTTTTTTGGCCCATCAGAACAACTAAACACTATTCCTTGGCAGGCCCTCTGTCCACTGCACCACTGACAAGGGGACATCACTCTATCCTGCACCACTGACAAGGTGACACCACTCCATGCTGCACTACTGACAAGGGGACACCACTCCATCCTGCACCACTGACAAGTGAAAAACCACACTGCTCCAGGGTAATGTTCACAAATTCTATATATATAAAAAAAAAATCTTTTTCTAAAGAGCCGAGCTCAGGATTTTTAATGTGTATATATTAAATTACATAATAAATGACATAAATTACATTTCTCATCAAATCTCTACAATATTTTAGCTGAAAGAAAATACACTGTACAGATATTATCTATCATACTGTCAGTCTGCTACCAACTGACAGACTGACAGTTTAATATAATTTATCAACACTGTAACCTGGGTATCGTTAATCTTGTGTATTTGGCCCTAATCTCCTTCACATTCATTCAATATCAAAAAATTTTTAATTAACTATTACACATTAATAATCAATGGGATTGTTTATTTTTGAACAGTTATCGGGAAATTAAACCCTTCTATAAATTGGATGCTTGTTATCAAAATTAAACGGTCAGTTTTAAACTGGACATAACTACAAATTAGATGATTTGGGGAAATTTTAGACAGTTTTTACGAAATTTCAAACGAAGATTTGTTATTGATCGAATGTGAAAGAACTGAGAGGTAAATACGCAAGATTAACGATACATGGGTTATAGACGGACAGTTTAATATAAATATACAGATGAATAATAAACAATTCTTATAGATAACATACACAGATCAGGGGCGTGGTGATCCATCATTTCGCATGAGGAACAAGATCCTGTATGGTCTCCCAAAAAATACAGATCAGGGGCGTGGTGATCCATCATTTCGCATGAGGAATCAGGGGTGTGGTGATCCATCATTTAGCATTAGGAACAAGATCCCGTCCGGTCTCCCAAAAAACACAGATCAGGGGCGTGGAGATCCATCATTTCGCATGAGGAACAAGATCCCGTCCCATCTCCCAAAAAAACTAATATTTAAATATGTGTGCGGTGGAGGGGGTGATGTGGCAGTCCCTCTCAGTGCTACCAAGTAATATTGGACTGTAAGGAACATGCTAGAGTCGATTTGTAGCATATCTGACCCATTGTATATGTTTGACACTGGTTAAGCATTATTATTATGATTATAATGTTGAAAACCACATTGAAACCTGCATGATTTTTTGCTATTTGCGAGGGGGCACAAAAACTCAAAACCATGACGCAAAGCTTGTCACTGCATCCCTCTCACTTAGCCCCTGACACAGATATAGAATTATCTTCTGTATTTAATGTAATAACTGTCTGGATGTAAGAAAACCGTTTCCCCGATAGGAAATGAAATGGTGTTTAACGTCCTACTTTTCTGCACAAACCGGGCTAATAAAAAATGTGTCTCGGTAGGAAATGAAATAGAGTTTTCTGCACCAACCAGCCTAATGAGAAAGAGAAATGAGGTTTAACGTCCACTCGACACAAACTATATCATTTCGGGACTAACATATGGTTCAATCTTATTTCATTAATTTGCTTGCACGTAGGGGTCTTTACCAGTGGGAGGAAACCGGAGGGCCCGGAGAAGACCCATGAGGTTGGATAAGCAACACTACTACTTGTCATGTACAAGTTGAGAATCAAAACCACAGCATTTGACTTAATGACAGACCTTATGATCTTATGCACATGTGTAAACCCATTTGGCCACCCATCTGAAATATGTATATGTTATCAATAAAAATTAATATCGAAGACACCATTCAAAGTTACATATTCAAATATTGTTGGAGTTATTGAATATATTATATCAACATTTTACATACTGAATGTCATCCAAATAATCAGATGTTTAAATATCAACAAGTTTCTTTACAAAGACATAGGGGAGACCGGGACACATTGGGTTGCCTAATATTATTTATAAAGGATATATCAATGGTGGTTCAACGTACCCATATGTTCAATATGCCCCGGTCCCCTATTTTACATAATTAAAGGGGCGCAAACCTCTTCAATTTACGTCAAAATAAAGTATCAGTACTTGGATTGTTTTAATGGCTTTATCTAAATAAAGGACCTAAAATTTCGAACAAGATTGATTGCCAATCTGATTAAAACACAGATCCTATTTCGTTATTTATAGTTCAAAATTTCATTTTACTACACTAGGATCTGGAAGAGTTGTTATATAACCCACGTTCTGGATGATGAGGAATTAGCCATTTCAATGGTCTGTTACGGTGAGTTTTTGGTGCGAGGTGCACGGAATTGTGGGCATAGCACTACAAACATCAATGCTGATTGGTTAATCAAATGTCTGACGTCTTAGGGTCAAAAGCCGCTCGCAACCTTCCACTACAACCGGTCAGATATTTATGTAGTATAGGCCATTGAAAGAATAAAAAACGAAATGAAATATAGATCTGTATTTCAATCAGATTGACTGATTGTCATCCATATGCAAAAAAATCAGTATTTAGGCCACATCAATTCGATTCTCTGTTCTTCGGGAACACCACTCAAATGTTTTGTTCTTAGTTCTTTGGAAAAATGACTACTTTAAAAGCCAAAAGTATTTGGTTGCACTGTTTAAAAGCTTTTAGTTCCAAATTTTAAACAAAACACCTTTCACATGATTCAAGTGGGTATTTATCCATCAAGACCCCGAAAAACAGAAAAGCAAATTGGTATGGCCTTATTACTCAATCTTGTTGATTTGATGACTTTATACATGGACCGAAAGTTTTGAACAAAGAGCGATTGTCATCTCACGAAACCAATCAACAAATCAAATTTGAAAATTTTGCTTTTGACTCCAATCAAAGAAGTTTAACTCCTTTTAAAATTCCCGAGATGCAATAAATAAAACCGGTCGCAAATTCAGGGCTGACAGGTGTGGCCAAACACTTAGCTTATCGTGTGTGGTTTTCAAATACCAGTATTCAATTAAAGTCCCAGATCGTGATTTGCATTTTTGTAAGATTATCTAATTTTTCACGGCTTAATATACGCTAAAATGTAGCCTACTGGGGGGGGGAAAATCGGCCCACTCAGCATTAGAAAATCAATCAATACTCTCAGTTAGGTCAAAAAGAAGTTCGTAAGTATAGCATTATGTAATTTTTAAATGACTCCGTTGAATATTGATTTGTAGGCCTCATTTTGGTTTGATTGAATGTGTAAGAAACTCTGGAAAACTGGCCCATTTTCCTGAAGAAAAAACCCCGGCCCACTAGGCGAAAAAATTGGCTCATTTGCCTATCTGGACTAAGCTGAGAGGGGTGTCCCAATGACGAGCAGAGACTTCAAGATTTCCGTTTTTCGCTCTTCTCCGGTCGGTCATGGCCACTTGCCGATAACTTCTGTAAAGATAGCAGTTTTATTATTAAACTCAACTTGTACTAATTTCACCTGATTGGTTGAAATTTGACCATTTCTCATTTCTTCCAGCCAATCAGATCAATCAACACATTCATTGAGAGAATCGCCTGATGATAGTCGATTCATTTATATATTTCCCAAATCATTAATTCAAGTTCAACACATTTTCAAGGCTGCTTTCACGATAGTCATATTATATATCTGAACTTGCAATCGAAGATATCTCCAGGAATCACTGAAGACTGCCATCTCTAACGAATGAATAAATAAATTCATTTTGATTATACATTAACCTTCTTTAGGCCATAATAATAATATTTAAAATAAAAACATGTACATATTTATAGCCATTTTTGTGTATATATGCTAATTGTGCACTGAGAAAACAAATCTAAAATATGCAAATATCACTGAGCCACATGATTTTTCTTCTTTTTTTTATTTTTTTAAACTATTTGGCTTCAAAGGTCATTTTGGCTCTCTAAATTCTCTTCCCTTTGGTTATGTGGATATTCATAAAATTTACTTGTTAATATGTATGTTTTAAATATTGCAACCATGACGACTTTGCTTTGCGTAATCAATGCCCACCTTTTGCGTATGTATTTGTATAAGAGGCCAATCCTGGTAAACTCACCATTTTGTGACCACGTTAACCCATCCGGGATTTAAGGAATAATATAAATAGAAACCTGCCATTTGAGTCCAACACGAATGAAAATAGTCACTGATAATCTGGATAACAGGGTCTTAATAGCCTTTACCTGCGTGTCTCGATTGACTTCAGTTACGCTATGGTGCATGTGCGCGTCTGAAGAGACAGTGACTTAGAGAAAGTCAGACCCTAGCATGCATATTTTTGAGGACCATAGATTGAGGGCTGCTTTATACATTCCTCCTTACTCCGTTACAATTCCTAGGGCGACAATATGAAATCCCACTAATGTCTCATTTGCTCTTAAATATAAACGAAATATCAGTAAACACTTATCTAAATAATATCAATACATTTACAAGTGGCATTGTGACTCTAATTATAATAAACTAATTATCACCAATTAAAAAAAAAAAGGTAAAAAAAAGAAAAAAAAGAAGACTAATTTCAATTTTAGAGGCAGACGCATAATTAAGATTTTACAAACAGAATCTGTTTAATATTATCAACAAAAATTATCATCTTCATAGAAATTTTGTCGGCCAAAGGAGACAATAAAATACAAATCAGAAATGTCTAGATCACCACGAATACACAGTTTTGTTTGGAAACATTTTTTTTTTCTTCGAAAGATTGGAATGAATACAGGTGAGCTGTTCTTACAGTTTTCCTCCAATCTCTGTACATGTTAACAGTTACCATAACAACCACAGGTAAAAACCATAGCAAAACATACAGTTCAAAGGTCACATCAATGTCGAATAAAGACAACTTCCTTTTCCCAAAGGTCAAGGTCACTCAGACTAAAGGTCACACATTAAATCGGAACAGTTTCTATGGTAACAGGTTATTGTGGAGAAACAGTACACACCAGAAATGTTTTTTTTTTTTAAAGAAATATATACAACGGTACGATGAGTCAAAGTAATGTCTGCTGGTTCTTTCACAGCGTTTAATTCGGCAAACGATGAAAATACTTTTTCTCCGACACTATTATCTAGTTTTCATCCATCATTCCATCCCAGAATGCAAGATAACAAAATTTCTGCGAAACTACAGTTTTAAGATCATATGACTCAACTTTGTGATTGTGGATCACATTGTAGCAAACGAACAATGGAAGGGTCGCTTTTGGCCCCTTCAATGAACTCATCTAATGAAAGTCTTCCGTCTGAATTTTTATCCATTTGACGAAATATTTTTTCTGTCCTCTTCTCTGGAGTGGATTCATCTTCTGGCATTTTCATAACTGTGCCAACCATTTTATAAATTGCCTGAAAAAACAGAAGTATTTCAATTAAAATCAAAGACTCCAGACAAATTAAAATGAAATGAAAATGGAGTTTGACATCCTACTGTTCTTCTCCAACCTCGGCTAATGAAGACGGGCATACGCCAAACAGTGTGGTATGAGGGGAATTTAGCCCTGACAGTGGCAATACAGCCTACTCTTATTTCGAATTCCAACTGTCAAGGGTTCTTTTACGTGCATGCCAATGTGTACATGGGACCTCGGTTTTTCATCCTATCTGAATGACTAGACATCTGTCCTTGTCAGGCCCTCTTGTCCTGCACCACCAACAAGGGGAAACGGTGTATACAGGAATTCAATTTTTTTGTCTCATCCAAACAATTATATACTGTTGCTTGTCTGGCTCCACCCCCCTCCCCATCCTGCACCCCTGACAAAACCATGTTGAAAATTCCTGAGGAATATCCTCGGCCAATAGACGGTTATATATACAGAGGTGTTATCTTACAAAACTAATTAGGACTAATCTGTACTGCGGGCAATGAGTACAGATTTATCGCCTTTTATATCTCCAGATTACGTACTCCGTACCAAGAATAATTGAACATTTGCAGTAATTAGGAATTTAGGATGGAAATACTGTAGGTAATCTTTTCACGCCGGAGTCATCTGGTAGAATCCCAGGATAATTGATAACCAAACATCAATTAAATAAATATTGGATAATAATTATGACATAGGACAGAGGTCTATCGAAGTCGGTGGAGACCGAATTTCTAGAAGAAAATCCAGGAGATTATACCACCACTGTAACCCAGGTATCATTTAATCTTGTGTATCTAGCACTAATTTTTTTCTCATTCATTTAATATTAAATCTTTGTTTAAAAATTCGTAAAAATCCTTTAAAATCACCAAAAATCATCTAATTTGTACTTGTGTCCAGTTTAAACTAAAGCTGACTAATTAATTTTGATAATGCATGTCCAATTTACAAGTGTTTAATTTCCCGACCACTGTTAAAAAATTAATCATTATACATCAATAATCAATTGGGTTTATTTTTTAACAGTGAACGAGAAAATAAATGCTTGTAAATTGGACAATCACTATCAGAATTAAATGGTCAGAGCTTTAAACTGGACACAAGTACAAATTAGATGATTTTTGGTATTTTAAACAATTTTTTTCGAATTTTTTAAACAAAGATTTGATATTGAATGATACCTGGGTTACAGTGTTAGACAGGCGACGTAAATACATGACAATATAGATAAGAAACTAACGAAGAGACTCGTGTACCAAACCTCAATGCTAAATTAAATAGTTGACACATACTAATAACTGCTTAATGCTAGGTTTCCACTATCACGATTCGCGCTACAATTGGAATCGTGGTTTTAATCATCGGGTAATTGTGGTGATCTTATCAGGTCTTACCATACATTGAGGTCAAAAGCTGCTTGTATGACCTCTGGCGTGACCTATCGCTACAACCTGTCAGATCTTCATGTAGTGTAGGCCATCGAAAGTATAAAAAAAACGAAACGAAATACAGATCTGTATTCTAATCCGATTGAATTTTTACATTTGTATAAAATAAAGCACATGTTGATTGTATCTTCTGAGGTTTTATAACATTTTATAGGGTTGGGCGCTATATCATTTTTTTTGGTATATTGTGATAAAATCATCAGGGATTTTATCATATCGTGATTTGTCGGTAGGACAAAAAATTCATATTTCATGTCCTAGGTTGAGCACGCATACAAAATTTTATAAAAGATCAGCTCATTTCATGAGTCTTTTTTAATCTTTCATTGTTTCTGCTTCTGCTTACTTTTCTTCTAAAAGGGTTCCTTTGCATGCAACCCAAAGTGTAACCAGGACTTTTTTGTGTCAACCGAACAACTAGACGTTTTTCTTTCTCAGCCAACAATGGGTTCGAACCCAGGACCTCCTGGTTTAGTGAACCAGTGCTTTAATCACTGAGCCACTTTGGCTGCCAATATCAAAATTACAAATTACAACTAGACTTTTTTTTTTCTCGGCCATCACTGGTTTCGAACCCAGGACCTGCTGGTTAGTGAGCCAGTGCCTTATTAACTGAGTCACCTTGGCTACCAATATCAAAATTACAAAATTATAAATCCAATATACATACCGTGACTATTTCTAACATTTCTTGTCGAGATATAAAACCATTACCATCCAAATCGTACATACTAAATGCCCAGCGCAATTTTTGTTCCAACTTTCCTCGAGACGTCACACTAAGAGCACAGATAAATTCCCGGAAATCAATTGTACCGTCTCCGTTAGTGTCAAATGTGCGAAATACATGTTCAGCAAATTTAGATGCATCGCCATACGGAAAAAAGTTTCCATAAATTTTTTTGAATTCCTCCACCGATAAATGGCCACTGGGACAATCTTTGAGAAATCCTTTATACCATTCTTGTAGTTCCTCGTCCGTAAATTCGGTATTTTTTCGTAAATCTTCGAGAATCTCAGGTTTTAGTTTACTGTTAGTTTTGCCCATATTGTCCCCTTTTTCACCTACGCTGTTGTCAAGACAACGTCAACACACTTTATTCTGAAAAAATACAAAATATAAAAGTATTAGATACCTCAAAATAAAATTCATTCATGGCATTATAGCGGTTATGAGTGTGCTATGGGGGACATTTTGCCCAGATAGTGGTGTTTCTGCCTACAGTTTTACATGCTCACAAACATGTATACAGCTAAAAAGGGGGAAAACAGTGAGTATCCTTTGAGGGATGTTTTGTCGAGACCATACACACATGTATACAGGACCTTAATTTTACATCCTATCAGAACGACTATACCCTGTTCCTTGAACCACTGAAAAGGGGAAAACAGTGAGTATCCTTTAAAAGAAGTTTTGACCAGACAACACCAACATGTATAAAGGACTTTAGTTTTACATCCAATAAGAATGACTAGACCATGTTTCATGCACCACTGAAAAGGGAAAACACACTGAAAAATGCAAAGGAACGTTCATGGCTAACACAAAGATCGAATCTGATCCCTCATTGTTAGTTTGCAAGCGCCCTAACCACTCATCCACTGTGGCTCGTACATGTATATGACAATATATCATCCACTATTTAAAGGACAATGTTGATCTGTCAGCCATTATTACATATTATGTACTAGAACCTGTTAAACTCACTTCAAAGATCATTGCTACGATAGATGCGTAATGAAGATTTCAAGAAACGGAAGTGACAAAAGCAAAAGGAAACACTGCCTGAAGTAATGAGCAATTACAGTTACACAGTCAATTTTCAGCTTACTGATAATTCCTTCCAAGAATAAAAGTTTTTATATGAGACTGTGAGAGGATATCTAACAATTTATAATAAGAATTGACAGTCACTAGATAAGAGAAAACGAAAAAAAAGAATAAAGTCTGTGCATTACCATCTTTTTTATAAAAAGAGAATGAATAAAAACAAGGGAATGTTATTGCTGGTTACTTCAGTCAGTTATATATAATCATATCTTGTGTTTTCCATTTATTTGTGTCACTTCCCGTTTCTTCAAATCTTTGTTACGCATCTACCGTAGCAATGATCACTGGGTTAAAATTATATTTAGAAAGAGAGAGAGAGAGAAATGGGGTTTAACATAACTTCGGGACTAACATATGGTTTAATTTTATTTCAAAAATTCGCTTGCGCATTGGGTCTTTAATTAGCAGTGGGAGGAAACCGGGGGACCTGGAGAAAAACCACGAGGTTGGACAGGCGACCCTACTCATTGTCACGTACAACCGGGGATTCGAAACCACACCAGTTGACTCAATGACAGGCTTTATGATACAGCACGCACGTGCTAACCACTCGGCCATCAAACCCCACCCCCCCACAAATTATATTTAGAATGTAGTGTTTAACCAGTTCTATTGCATAATGGCTGACACCAAAATAATCAGTTATATGATCTGTCAGCCTTTTCACCCAACATCCTAACAACCTTCGTTTTTTAACCCTTTTTCTTACTACGACTACGAGAAAATGACAACTTGAAAATCTGGTTTTAGAAACCATAAATTATCTTATGTTAAATTAGGACTCATAAAGTAATAATTTGTTCTAAAAAAATCCCCAAAACATGAAGATTTACTAAAAATAAAAAAAATTGTGAAGCCTTAACAAATTTTTCTAGGTTTGGATACATAGTCAAACTGACAAGTGACAAAATTTCAAGAGATGTTGAAATGAACATGTGACATTTTGCCTGGGGATATGACAAGTGATGAAATATTATCAACGATTTATCACAACCCAGTAATAACCATATTTTATGGAATATAATAACTGGGTTACCTGGTAATCTACAACTGTACTGAGAGAGAGAGAGACAGACAGACAGAGAGAGAGAGAGGTCATTTTGGAACTAACATATTGTTAACCATTCGGCCACCCAACTCTCCACTGAGAGAGAGAGAGAAAGAGACAGAGAAAGAGTCCACTCACACAAACTAGGTCATTTTGGGACTAACATATTGTTAACCATTCGGCCAACCAACCCTCCACTGAGAGAGAGAAAGAGAGAGAGAGTCCACTCACACAAACTAGGTCATTTTGGGACTAACATAGCTGTGGTAGGCAAACCTACTCCTTGTCAGTACAAGCGGGGAATCGAAACCCTGCCACTTGACTCAATGACAAACCTTAAGATCATACGCACATGTATTAAATCATTTGACTATCCAACCCCCTCAAGATTAGAAACCATAATATATTTATCTTCGACCATTTTATACTAACATCAATCCATAGAAAAACCAATATCAATTCCAATAGTGTGTGTAGTCAAACAGTTACAATCACTGTTCTTACTGATTCCCTCGTGAGGTAATTTCACGGAACCATTCCAAGTCTCTCTTTGATAATTACAACGAATAATAATGTTCGTAAACTCCCGAGAGTTCTACATTGACGTCACACCAACAGGCCACAAGCAGGGTATTAATCACTGATTTACTCATATAATTTGCATGTACTCGTATCGTATCCCTACGCAGTGATTAAATACAACTGATCTAATGAGAATGATGGACCAGACAGAAGGATTAAATTTTCATGAATATGACAAAGTTAACACTCAGTTAATGTACAGCAGTGACAGTCTAGATAGATGGATTACATTTTCTAGCATAGTTAAAAAAATTTAATTGAGAGAGAGAGAGAAATGGGGTTTAACGTCCACTCGACACAAACTAGGTCATTTCGGGACTAACATATGGTTTAATTTTATTTCAATAATTCGCTTGCGTGTAGGGGTCTTTAGCAGTGGGAGGAAACCGGAGGACCCGGAGAAAACCTATGACTTGTCACGTACAACCGGGGATTCAAAATTTAATTGAACTGAAATGATATAAAATGAAACGGGGGGGTTTAACGTCCTACTGTTCTGCTCCAGACTGGGCTGATGAAGATGGGCATACGCCATACAGTGTGCTATGAGGGAAATTTTGCCTGGACAGTGGCACTTCGGCCTACTCTTATATCAAATTCCAACTAATTGTCCGGGGATCTTTTATATGCATGCCAATGTATACACAGGACCTCGGTTTTCTATCCCATCCAAACAACTAGACAGCTGTCCTTGTCAGGCCCTCCATCCTGCACCATTGACAAGGGGAAACCAAGTCAGAAAATCCTGATGAACTTTCTTGGTCAATACAGGGATCGAATACGTGACCTCCAGGCTAGCGAGCCAACGTCTAACCCACTTAGCTACTGTGTCTCCCGGTCTTTATATACCCACACTTCTATCATATATATATCACATACCAAGTCCGTGTTCATATACCCCTCTCCTCTGTCAAATAGTACATATATACCTTCATACACACTCTCATATATTACATATACTTCATCTATTCTACTTATATCATATTAATATACCTCAGCTGGTTTTATATACCCCTCCTGTCATACAGTACACATCTACCTTCATACACACTGTCATATATATCATATTCATATACCTCAGGTGTTTTCATATACCCCTCCTCTGTCATACAGTACATATGCCACACATGTATATACCACAGCTGTAACAGAGGTGGTTAATCTGTTCATAATGATCAGATTAAATTAGATCAGAGTCCGATAGGACTTATCTATTAATAAAGTATAATAAATATATTATTATCTTCTACCGTAGTCGAACATGTAAAATGGTGTAAGCTTATTAAATAACCATATCATTATTAAACAATTGATCCATTCTATTTCTGTATTTCTAATAATAAATAGATAATGATGATGATGGCTATGGACATCTTTAAAGCATTATATAGCATTACAGGAAATGAAATACTGGGGTTCAACATCCTACTGTTCTGCTCCTACTGGGCTGATGGTTTATATCAAGTGGATGTTAAACCCCATTTCTCTCTCGGCCTAATGAGAAGTGGTATTAGGTCAACTGCAGAAATGAAATGGGGTTTAACGTCCTACTGTTCTGCTCCTACTGGGTTGATGAAAACGGGCACACGCCATACAGAGTGCTATGAGGGAGGTATCGCCACACTAAATTAAGGTACATGTCACAGATTTTGTCAGGCAAAAATTATCACACAACTTTTTTTATTATAACATATACATTGTTTGTAACAGGTGCCCTACGTCCAGGCTTGATGACCAGTATGCAACAGGTGTGGGGGGGGGGATAGAGAGAGAGAGAAATGGGGTTTAAAGTCAACTCGACAAAAACTAGGTCATTTCGGGACTCACATATGGTTCAATTTTATTTCAATAATTCGCTTGCAGTGGGAGGAAACCAGAGAAAACCCACAAGGTTGGACAGGAGACGCTACTCCTTGTCACGTACAACTGGGGAATCTAAACCACGCCAGTTGACTCAATGACAGACCTTATGATACAGCGCGCATGTGCTAACCATTCGGCCATCCAACCCCGCCATTGTGCAAAGGACATTGAAGCCCAGTTATTTCTATATTCTATTACATAGATATATAGATAATAAAATGATATGACATGTACTACATCCACATCAACTGGGTTAATGAAGACAGACATACGCCATGCAGTGTGCTACATGCATAAATTAAATTTGACCTAATTCTCGCCAGTTCATTTTAAAATGGATTAAGAACCTTGGTGCAAGCCAACATTCACACAGGATAACTACACTTTATGACAATGACAGCTACTAGACTCAATTAAAATCTTTCTAGATGCGTCTGTTCAATAAACCAACTTGTATTATATGTTTTCATATTTGTAATTTTAACGTTCTTTAGAACAATTCAATAAATGACTTTTTCACATTTTTCAAATGGCGTTGTGTTTTTTAACCTCCTTTAGAACAATTCAATAAATGACCTTTTCACCCTTATCAAATGGAGTTGTGTTTTTTAACATCCTTTAGAACAATTCAATAAATGACCTTTTCACATTTTTTAAATGGGGTTGTGTTTTTTAACCTCTTTTAGAACAATTCAATAAATGACCTTTTCACCCTTATCAAATGGAGTTGTGTTTTTTAACATCCTTTAGAACAATTCAATAAATGCCTTTTTACATA